AATCGCCGTGGCGCGGCGTTGCTATTGATTCGCCGCCGGCCTGGGAGCGACAATGCTAATTCCCTGGGCAGCGCATTTGTCGCGTTGCGCCACTGTTTGTCGACTGACGGTGTGTTTTTCCCGCGCTCTTTTGGGACCGGTATACAGGGTGATCCATCAGCAAAACACTGCAGCTGTCTCCGAAACTCCGATTATATCGCTAACGGTTGACACCAAAAATCAGCGGCAATACTTGCAACAACTCGTGCTAGTAATTTGCTATGTTTGAAATGTTCTGTTTTGAAAATATTTTAAAACATTGAAAAACATGTTATGCTATGAACGCATTATGATGCTATGAAAAGTGTTATGAACAGTTAGTTTTTATAATTAAGTCTCGCCAGTCTTGCGAGGTTGATACCAACCCATAAAGTTTTCTAGGACTAGCTCTGGAACGCTTTAACGAATTGGGAAATATTAAGTTTTCGCTGAGTTTCAGGCTCAACCTTCAAAAATAGCCCGAAAGTTTTAATTTTCTTTTAGTTCGGTCGGCTAGGTCCCTAGGTGTATGTGTCCAGGCTATCCATATAACCTGGTCGTATGAGGCGTCTTTGACATTGATCTTAAAAAGTGCATCGTTCGATGCGTCTTGAGAAGACAAATGTGTTGATAGCATATTTTGTTTGGCGGTGATTTTTCTGGAGTAAGCTGCCCAAAGTAGAACTACAATATCTGGGAATTAATTATCTAACTTGTTAACTGGTCAAATTTGAGTTAACGTCGGGTTAAGTGCTGGCTTTTAACCCTAGAACGCCTAGGGGGGGGGTTGTATCAACCCCCCCTGAGGTTTTTTCGAAGTGCACGCTAAACAGCTTGTCGTAGCGGGCTGAAATTTTCAATACCCTCTGGGGCAACCTTTGCGCATCTTTTGCCGAAAAAAAATTGATCGGGTCATGTCAGGTCACGGAGTTATGACGTCATAAGAGGTACAGCCTCCGGCCGACAGTTACCAAACGTGTGCGCCGAATCCCTAGGTTTTCTGCCGGTGATACCCACATTGTTTGATGGATCATGATGAAACTTCCCATGCATGTTGGGGCAAGCATTGGCTATCGTGTGGTGCAAGAAAATTGACCGGGTCAGGTCAGGTCACGGAGCTATGACGTCACAAGAGGAACAGCGTCCGGTACTATTTTTGAAAAGCGCCCGAACCACTATTTTGCTAATTCTTGTCACCTCAATGGAATATGCAGCAATATTAGCTTCTATAGGGAGCAAATGGACCTCCCAAATCTAAAAATACAATCAGATTTCAAAATTTAAATTTTGATTTTTCGAATTTCTGCCGCCGACTGTGATCTTGCCGGCTTCCGGCGCTCCCAACGCGCCATTTTTAGAGCTAGGGAAACGAAATACATACCAAACGATAGAGAATTGATCAAGGAACACGATAGTGAAGGTTTCAAGTCGATATCTCCCACCGTTTTGCCGCAATCGCCGCGGAAAGTTGAAAATTTTTGATTTTTTTCGGAAAATTTGACCTTTGACCGGTCATAAGTAGGTCAAATGTTAACCTAGGACCAAAAAATATGCCACCAATCGCGAGATCTCGTTGAGAGCAATCCGTTGGTTTTTTCCGCTAAGCTCTACGACCTTCCGTTTCGAAACGCCAGGGGGGGGTCGTAACACCCCCCCCCCCCTGGACCCTGGTCGTTCGTGTTATGAGAAATGGCCTGGTCGTGCGAGGGTTAAAGGTAGTGTGCCACCTTTGAAAGATTTCCCATTTTATTTTTCCTAGGATAAGAAGCTTCTGTTTTTACCTAATATCGCAAAAAAAAATCAAAAATGGGCCTGGAATAGTGCCTTTTTCGCCTAAAAGTTTTTCGGTTTTTAGATATGTATAACAACTGTAGTGGGCTCACCTGCAAACAGGCGTCGGGCAACAATCGCGAATGCGGCGCACTTGTGACAATAAGCAAAGGTCATTATAGTGTTACGACCATACGACGTACGGGAATGAGTTATCAGCTGTCTAATCGTAGACAACACAATGTCGAGCCTTAAACTGTAAGCCCGTATTGGTATTGTTTCTTTTATTTGGCTGTCGAACATTATTTATGGTTTGAAATATGATTTTATGTAAAATAATTGATATGAAAAAGCCGTCTTATAAGTTATGACCCCATTTCACCACACGCAAGTGGCAGAAATGACAATGATCAGCTGACGCATTTTTCTTGGCCGAAGTCAGAGCGCGCGGCCCGACGCACCACGCGTATTTGGAAATTCCGACCTCGACGAGCATCAGAAGCCACCTAACAGGCGTGTTCGAAACCGCAGGAGCTGATGATGAACGGGTTTATCGAAACTTGATTGGATGAGCATATCGGTAATAGCGATTTCAGTGTGTGCATTTATTGTTCATAGTGGTGTGAAATGTGGTTGGGGTACGACCGACAACCCGTCGGGGCGAATTTCGCACTGGGGTACGGTCCAAGAAAGCTGGCACACTACCTTTAAGGGGTAGGTATCTGTAGGTAAAATGGGTAGTGGGTACGCTGGGTGTAGGTAGTTCACTTTCGGTGATTACGTAGGTGCCAAAGGATCAGTCGCAGTGATGGGATAGCAAGACTTGCGCATCGTTTTGCCTTGAGCGTTTTAAACACAAGCATGGCATTAGTAGATTTGTTTGTCATGTTTCGACGGCCCTGGAGGCAGACTCAGTGAAAACACAACACGATCACTGGTCGAGCAGCTAGCCTCATGTCGTGGTCTCACCTTCTTCCCCGGAGGCGCGGTGGCTGTTCCCCGAACTCGCTGCACGCGACAGCCCAGCGGCTGGTCGTGCCCCCGTGCCCTCCAGACGCTGATTGGCGGCTGAGCTGCGTCTCAGTCGGGATAAGGCCAAGACGACTCAAGGGAAGATACAGGGGAAATGAATGACACAGGACAATGGTTCCAAGAATGTTTCATAACGGGTGCATTTGTTTATTGCAGTGCCTAGAAGTTGAGAATTCAGTTGTTTTCCATTCCATTTTCCATTTTTTCCATTCCATTTTTCCATTTCCATTTCATTGCTAAGTGAGTTTTGCTTTTAGGTACTTAGCCCAGGGCCCAGATATAAGAGCATTGACCAAAGATAATCGCACTACAAGCAAATTTGCGGCCGATGATCAATACCAAATATGTTTGTAATGCGTATTTAGGTACCCGTCCATGCATCTGCGCTAATTAATAATTGTCCGAGAGGTACGTTTTTTTAAGGAAATTGTTCGCTTTCCTCAAATTAGTTTTTTGCAATCGATTTATGATTTTTTGGTGCTTAAAATGATCAGAAAATGAAATAAAACTTTTTATTAATTTTTTTTGTATATTTGAATGTTGGAAGAACTATATTCTATATCAAATAATGTTTGACAAAAAAAGCAATTTTTGCATGTTTCTATGGACGATAACTTTCCTTTGCCTTTCCATTCCGAAAGCCAGTCCATTTTAACACGGCGCATATTCGCAGGCAAAAACCAGCCAGCGACATTGGGAGTATGCCTCCATAAAAGTTCGGGATGTGGAGAGCGACAGGGGACTACCGCGCGCTGAACGGCAAGACCAAGCCAGACCGCTACCCGCTGCCACACATCCACAGCATCAGCACCCGTCTCCATGGGATGCGTGTGTTCTCCAAGGTGGACCTGCTGAGAGCCTATCACCAGATCCCTATGTCGCCACAGGATGTGGAGAAGACGGCTGTAACGACACCATTCGGCGCGTACGAATACGTGTTCATGCCGCTGGGCCTGCGGAACAGTGGGGCTACATTCCAGCGTGTGATGGACCAGCTGTTCCGCCAGGTCAGCTGCGTCTTCGTCTACCTGGATGACGTCCTGATCTTCTCGCCAGACGCAGAGCCATCACAAGGACCTTCAGACCGTCCTCGGCATCCTCCATCGACACCGGCTAAGGATCTCGCTGGACAAGTGCGACTTCTTCAAGCCGCAGGTGGTCTATCTAGGCCACACCGTCTCCGCCGAGGGGCTCCGGCCGCCAGACGCCAAGATCGAGGAGATCGCGGATCTGCCGACTCCACCGGACTCCACAGCACTCCGCCGATTCCTCGGGATGGTCGGGTTCTTCCGCCGGATGATCCCACACTTCGCCGAGATCGTCCACCCGCTGACAGAGCTGATGAAGCACAACCAGAAGAGCACCAACCTCCCGTGGACCGAGACGGAGCTCGCCGCCTTCACAGACATCAAGGAGGCACTGCAGACAGCATGCACCATCCGACATCACCTGCCGTCCTGTGAGACCTACCACCTGGTCACCGACTGCTCACAGGTGGCAGCCGGTGCAGCTCTGTACCAGATCGCGGACGGTCAGCCTGTCCCCGTCGGCTTCTTCTCCAAGAAGCTCAGCGACCAGCAGAGGCGATACTCAACATACGACCGCGAGCTGCTGGCCGCCTACCTGGCCGTGCTTCACTTCCGTCACCTGTTGGAAGGTCGTGTCGTCGCGCTCTTCACTGACCACCGGCCGCTCACCACCGCGTTCCTCAGCCCGCAGACGGCCAAGTCGGACCGTCAGCAGCGGCACTGGAGCGTGATCTCCGAGTACGTCTCCTCCGTCCAGTACGTGCGCGGGGCTGACAACGTGGTCGCTGACTGTTGGAGTCGCCCTGTGACCCCCGACGCCCTCAGTCCGCCCGACCAGAGCTCCGAGACCTCGCCACCGACAGGATCACTCCTGACCACACTGGGCAGCGCGGCTACCGCGCCCGTCGGTGCGGTGCGCGCCCTGAGTCGCCTCCGGTCACCGTACCGGACGGCGCGCGCGCGCGCCCTGTGCCGCCTCCGGTCGCCGCACCGGTCGCCGCGCGCGCGGTACGCCTCGAGCCGCCACCGGTCGCCGCGCCGGACGGTGCCCGCGCGCGCTCGGAGCGGCCACCTGTCGCCGCACCGGACCGCGCGCGCGCGCGCCCCGATCCGCCGTCTGCTGCGCTCAGCAGCACCGCCGCCGACACTGGCATGACCCCGGTGACTGCTGCGCCGCACCCGGCCACCGAGTCGCTGGCGGCTGCCGCGCCACCGAGCACCACGCCTACAGCGTCAGTGAACGCCGCCACCGTGGACGCCGCCGACCTGCACGCCATCGCCGAGGCTCAGAGGGACGACCAGGAGACAGCTGCCTACTCGGACCGGCTGACACCCTTCCCGTTGTCAGCTGATCTCACCGTCCTCTGTGATACCACTCTGACACTTCCCAGGCCGTTTGTCCCAGTCCCCCTCCGCACTCATGTGTTCGAACAGGTGCACAGCCTCGCTCATCCTGGTGTCAAGGCCTCCCTTCAGCTGGTCAAGTCGCGCTACTTCTGGCCCGACATGGACCGCTGTATCCGCCGGTGGGTACGCGAGTGCTCCTCCTGCCAATCGAGTAAGGTCCACCGCCACACCAAAACCGTCCCGTCTCCGTTTTCTCTCCTCAGCGACAGGTTCGAGACCATCCACATAGACATTGTCGGTCCTCTGCCGCCATCAATCCCTCACGGTGAGTCTTTCACCTCCCCGTGTCGGTACCTCCTGACGTGTGTTGACCGTTCCACCCGCTGGCTGGAGGCGGCCCCTATCGCCGACATCTCAGCAGCCACCGTCGCAGCCGCCTTCATGGACGTCTGGGTGGCCCGGTTTGGTGTGCCGCTGCACGTCGTCACCGACAGAGGTACTCAGTTTGAGTCCGCCCTCTTCCGACAACTGGCCGAGATCCTCGGCTTTCACCGCCTGCGGACAACGGCGTACCACCCCAAGACCAACGGCATGGTGGAGCGTCAGCATCGGACGCTGAAGTCAGCCATCATCGCCAGCAAGAAACAGTGGTTACAAGCACTACCTGTGGTCCTCCTGGGCATCCGGGCGGCCATGAATGAGACTGGCTATGCGCCGTTCACTGCCGTCACCGGGGGCATGCTGTTGCAGCCCCGGATAAGAGTGGACCGGCAGCCTGCTCCGGACGGCGCCGCCGAGACCGTCGGGGAGCTGGCCCGCCGACTCGCCAGGACAGACTTCCTCTCGCCGTCTGAAGGCAGCCACCATGGACTGACCCAGCCGCACATGCCGACCGACCTCTCGACGTGTTCACACGTCTGGCTGCGGGTTGACCGCGTGCGCCGCCCTCTGGAGGCGCCTTATATCGGCCCTCTGCGCGTCCTCAGGCGATGGGATCGCTGGTACCAGCTGGAGCTGCCGTCGGGGAAGAGTGACACCGTCTCGGTCGAGCGGCTCAAGCCAGCATACCTACCGCAGTCACCGCCGCCGGGTGGGCTGGGCGGTGCCGATGCCGCACCGCCCCTGCCCCCCGTGCAGTCCGGTACAACCACATCGCCGTCGGTGGAGCCGGGCCGCGCCGATGCCGCGCTGTCCCCGCTTCCCGGCCTGGCCAGCGCTGCACCGCCTGTGCACGCTTCATCATCGCCGCCAGCGGAGCCGGACCGTGCTGACGTAGCGCCGCCACCATCTGCTCCGCCACGTCGTGGTCGCCGTCTTGGGGGCCAGAGCTCGGCGCCCGCGTCGCCGCCGTCGCCTGTGCCTGTTCGTCCACAGCGAGACGCCGTGTACACTCGTGCTGGTCGCCGCGTTCGGTTTCGTGTTCCACCCTCGTGAGTTTTTTTTTATCTTTTCCCGCTCCGCTCTTAGGGGGGGGAAGTACTGTGGTGCCGCGCAGCCCACCGGCACATTATTTAGTTGCGGCGTCTCCGCCCAAGTGCGCTATTGTTTTGTCGCGTGTGCGCAAATACTGTTTCCTTTTCAAGTACCTTCTGATCTCGTTTTTAGTATTATATTTAAATCGTATTATCTTCGCTATTGTCTTAAGATTATATAATGTTACTTGCGTTCTAAAATAAGTTTATTGTGCTTTAATTGGCGTAATTATTTCGTTGTTTTCTGTAAGCCCGTTTCTATCTTTTATCTAAAATAGTTTGTGTTTCTGGCACTGTCGCTTCCGCTCCGTTGTTATTCCGGCTCTCGTTACACAGTTGTTTCACATCTCGATATATCTACGCTAAATATAGCTTTTCTACAGTGCACAGTGGCGTCTGACAGGCTGAGTATTCGCGCGAGCTTTCCTCACGTTTTTCCTTAATTTTTACCGCTGATCTCTCGTTATCTCGCTTACCTAAACATTGTCTTTCGTCCCACGTGTCATTTTGGCAGAACAATCATTTTCCTTCCAATCACAGAGCACGTAGCCTTTACCTGACCACTTCAGAGACCTAGTTGATTTCATCCAGCACCGCAGCCCACGGAGACGCGGAGCCTGGACTGGGAGCTGGAGTCAGGAGAACAATCGCAATGCGCGTGAATACATGTATTCACGCGCATTGCGTGAATTTCAGAAGAATACAGTTCTTCCGCGTAATACTTTTTTTTGCTGGGCTTCGTAAATTCAGTAAACGTAATGTTCGGCGGCAGAAAAAAAATATATAAAAAGTTAACCTAATTATAAGACATTTGAACTGATTTTGTCTACTTGTTTTTTTATGACGGAATCGTCTCAACATCTTAATTCCACTTTCCATGCAAAATGGATGTTCAACCCACATCCTTATGAAGTGTTACGGAACGCTGTCTTTAAAGATACTTTTGTCTACGAAAAGATGTTTCCTGAGCCGCCATGCAAATGCACTAATCGTAATCTTTGATGAATTTACTGTGGACTATTATGCGTTGTCTTCCAATTTTCGGATTTTCGAAATTTTTCGGATTTTTTATTTTCGGATTTTCGGAAAAAAGTGTCTTTGAGTTTTCGCGAGGCTAGACCGGCCGGATCGCCTACCGTGTCCATCAGTTTGCGTTCTTACAGAGCTCGCTGGTGTTTATCTTTTAGTTAGAATGTCGGTAATTGGCTGTTATTACTTTCAGTTGTAATCAGATGTACAGAAGTGTCAGTGTCTTTTCTGTATGCGTATATAATTGCTTGATATAATATAAAAAGTGACTCCCCTGTTTTATTTTAACCCGCGCCCCACTGGGGGCGGGGCTATTCATAGCCCCCTCCCATCCCGTTTCTCTGCAATAACTTCCAAACCGCATGACGTATCGACGCCAAACTTTCAGTACCTTCGGCTGCATCAATTTGACACCCTTTGTCAAAATATGAACTTCCTAGCTACCATAGGTCGGCCGGAAATGAAGTCAGAGTAACGTCATGTTCGGCCGATTTCGACGCAAAACATTGAACCACGGCAATCGCTCCCAAGAGCTCAGTTTTTAAGCTAGATCCAATTTTTCTTTGCATGAGAGGACTCAGAATAGACTGCGTTATCAAACTGCCATCTCGGATTTTCAAAATCTTGAAAATTTTGAAAATTATACATAATAAAGTTTAAAATTTAGGTATACTTTTATTTCTATTTCAAAACTTTTTGACTTTTCGAAAAAAACGGAATATATATATGATAGAACACATGCTTATGACTTACTATAGCAAGTTTTAGCTAAATATATTAAAAAATGGCCAAGTTATCGCATTATTGCAAAAAAAAATCACAATAATATTTTTTCTTCTTCAAATCATTTTTTCAGTAAGTTCTTGACATCGTACACCAATACAAATACCGCCATCGTGTTCCTGAGCTCAAACTGCATCCAATAGACACCTTTTTTGTTAAAGATTTAAACTTCAAAATTTGACCTTTTTTACCTGAAAGTGACCTGACCTAGCTAAATTCAACTCAAAATGACCTCGAATGACACAAACGACATCAAATTCGAAATCTATGGCCTAAATGGACCATAAAACATGTGATGTGTCACTTGACCGACGCATGATATAATATTTCCGTGACCTGTGATGACCTGACCTGACCCTGACCTAAAAATCAAAGTACAAGTTTGGTACCACGTCTGTCAAGACAGCCTCAGATTCAGATTCACTTTCAGAATCACATTCGGACCCCCTTAGATTTTCATAAAAACTGGTCCATGGGTACAGTTTTGGACGCTGATTCCAATGGTGAAGTCTGTTTTTTCGCCACATATTATACTTTGGCCCCTAGAGGCATTCAAAGTTTTTTTTGGGCGAAGGGGGACCCCCTTAGATTTTCATAAAAACTGGTCCATGTGTACAGTTTTGGACGCTGATTCCAACGGTGAAGTCTGTTTTTCGCCACATATTATACTTTGGCCCCTAGAGGCATTCAAAGTTTTTTGGGGGAAGGGGGACCCCCTTAGATTTTCATAAAAACTGGTCCATGGGTACAGTTTTGGACGCTGATTCCAATGGTGAAGTCTGTTTTTCGCCACATATTATACTTTGGCCCCTAGAGGCATTCAAAGTTTTTTTGGGCGAAGGGGGACCCCCTTAGATTTTCATAAAAACTGGTCCATGGGTACAGTTTTGGACGCTGATTCCAATGGTGAAGTCTGTTTTTCGCCACATATTATACTTTGGCCCCTAGAGGCATTCAAAGTTTTTTTGGGGCGAAGGGGGACCCCCTTAGATTTTCATAAAAACTGGTCCATGTGTACAGTTTTGGACGCTGATTCCAACGGTGAAGTCTGTTTTTCGCCACATATTATACTTTGGCCCCTAGAGGCATTCAAATTTTTTTGGGGAAGGGGGACCCCCTTAGATTTTCATAAAAACTGGTCCATGGGTACAGTTTTGGACGCTGATTCCAATGGTGAAGTCTGTTTTCCGCCACATATTATACTTTGGCCCCTAGAGGCATTCAAAGTTTTTTTTTTGGCGAAGGGGGGCCCCCTTAGATTTTCATAAAAACTGATCCATGGGTACAGTTTTGGACGCTGATTCCAATGGTGAAGTCTGTTTTTCGCCACATATTATACTTTGGCCCCTAGAGGCATTCAAAGTTTTTTTGGGGCGAAGGGGGACCCCCTTAGATTTTCATAAAAACTGGTCCATGTGTACAGTTTTGGACGCTGATTCCAACGGTGAAGTCTGTTTTTCGCCACATATTATACTTTGGCCCCTAGAGGCATTCAAAGTTTTTTTGGGGGAAGGGGGACCCCCTTAGATTTTCATAAAAACTGGTCCATGTGTTCAGTTTTGGACGCTGATTCCCATGGTGAAGTCTGTTTTTCGCCACATATTATACTTTGCCCCTAGAGGCATTCAGATTCACTTTCAGAATCACATTCGGACCCCTTAGATTTTCATAAAAACTGGTCCATGTGTACAGTTTTGGACGCTGATTCCAACGGTGAAGTCTGTTTTTCGCCACATATTATACTTTGGCCCCTAGAGGCATTCAAAGTTTTTTTGGACGAAGGGGGACCCCTTAGATTTTCATAAAAACTGGTCCATGTGTACAGTTTTGGACGCTGATTCCAACGGTGAAGTCTGTTTTTCGCGCACATATTATACTTTGGCCCCTAGAGGCATTCAAAGTTTTTTGGGGAAGGGGGACCCCCTTAGATTTTCATAAAAACTGGTCCATGGTACAGTTTTGGACGCTGATTCCAATGGTGAAGTCTGTTTTTCGCCACATATTATACTTTGGCCCCTAGAGGCATTCAAAGTTTTTTGGGCGAAGGGGGACCCCCTTAGATTTTCATAAAAACTGGTCCATGGGTACAGTTTTGGACGCTGATTCCAATGGTGAAGTCTGTTTTTCGCCACATATTATACTTTGGCCCCTAGAGGCATTCAAAGTTTTTTTGGGGCGAAGGGGGACCCCCTTAGATTTTCATAAAAACTGGTCCATGTGTACAGTTTTGGACGCTGATTCCAACGGTGAAGTCTGTTTTTCGCCACATATTATACTTTGGCCCCTAGAGGCATTCAAAGTTTTTTTGGGGAAGGGGGACCCCCTTAGATTTTCATAAAAACTGGTCCATGGGTACAGTTTTGGGCGCTGATTCCAATGGTGAAGTCTGTTTTTCGCCACATATTATACTTTGGCCCCTAGAGGCATTCAAAGTTTTTTTTGGGCGAAGGGGGACCCCCTTAGATTTTCATAAAAACTGATCCATGGGTAGGTACAGTTTTGGACGCTGATTCCAATGGTGAAGTCTGTTTTTCGCCACATATTATACTTTGGCCCCTAGAGGCATTCAAAGTTTTTTTTTGGGCGAAGGGGGACCCCCTTAGATTTTCATAAAAACTGGTCCATGTGTACAGTTTTGGACGCTGATTCCAACGGTGAAGTCTGTTTTTCGCCACATATTATACTTTGGCCCCTAGAGGCATTCAAAGTTTTTTGGGGCGAAGGGGACCCCCTTAGATTTTCATAAAAACTGGTCCATGTGTACAGTTTTGGACGCTGATTCCAACGGTGAAGTCTGTTTTTCGCCACATATTATACTTTGGCCCCTAGAGGCATTCAAAGTTTTTTTGGGGAAGGGGGACCCCCTTAGATTTTCATAAAAACTGGTCCATGGGTACAGTTTTGGACGCTGATTCCAATGGTGAAGTCTGTTTTTCGCCACATATTATACTTTGGCCCCTAGAGGCATTCAAAGTTTTTTTTGGGGAAGGGGGACCCCTTAGATTTTCATAAAACTGGTCCATGTGTACAGTTTTGGACGCTGATTCCAACGGTGAAGTCTGTTTTTCGCCACATATTATACTTTGGCCCCTAGAGGCATTCAAAGTTTTTTGGGGGAAGGGGGACCCCCTTAGATTTTCATAAAAACTG